CCTCTACTGTCTCATAGGTTAGGTCTCTCACTCTACCGTCTCTTAGGTTAGGTCTCTCACCTCTACCGTCTCATAGGTTAGGTCTCACTTCTACTGTCTCTAGGTTAGGTCTCTAATCTCTACCGTCTCATAGGTTAGGTCTCCTCACTTCAACGTCTCTTAGGTTAGGTCTCTCACTTCTACCGTCTCACAGGTTAGGTCTCACTTCTACCGTCTCTTAGGTTAGGTCTTCACCTCTACCGTCTCTTACAGGGTTAGGTCTCATCTCTACCGTCTCATAGGTTAGGTCTCACCTCCACTGTCCTTTAGGTTAGGTCTCTCACTTCTACTGTCTCATAGGTTAGGTTTCACCTCTACCGTCTCTTAGGTTAGGTCTCGCTTCTATCGTCTCATAGGTTAGGTCTCTCACCTCTACCGTCTCATAGGTTAGGTCTCTCACCTCTACCGTCTTATAGGTTAGGTCTCACCTCTACCGTCTTAGGTTAGGTCTCTCACCTCTACCGTCTCATAGGTTAGGTTCTCTCACTTCTACCGTCTCAAGGTTAGGTCTCACTTCTACCGTCTCATAGGTTAGGTCTCTCACTTCTACCGTCTCATAGGTTAGGTCTCTCACCTCTACCTGTCTCATAGGTTAGGTCTCTCACTTTACCGTCTCATAGGTTAGGTCTCTCACCTCTACTGTCTCTAGGTTAGGTCTCCCACTTCTACCGTCTCATAGGTTAGGTCTCTCACCTCTACTCTCCATAGGTTAGGTCTCTCACTTCTACCGTCTCATAGGTTAGTCACTCACTTCTACCGTCTCATAGGTTAGGTCTCTCACCTCTACCGTCTCATAGGTTAGGTCTCTCACCTCTACCTGTCTCTAGGTTAGGTCTCTCACTCCCCACCGTCTCATAGGTTAGGTCTCTCACTTACCGTCTCTGGTTAGGTCTCTCCACCTCACCGTCTCATAGGTTAGGTCTCCACTTCTACCGTCTCCATAGGTTAGGTCTCTCACTTCCACTGTCTTAGGTTAGGTCTCACTTCTACCGTCTCATAGGTTAGGTCTCTACCTCTACCGTCTCATAGGTTAGGTCTCTCACTTCCTGTGTCATAGGTTGTCTTTCACTTCTTCCGTCCATAGGTTAGGTCTCACTTCTACCGTCTCTAGGGGTCTCACCCCACCTCAACTCCAGGTTAGGTCTCTCACTTCTACCGTCTCTAGGTTAGGTCTCACTTCTACTGTCTCTTAGGTTAGTCTCTCACTTCTACCGTCTCTAGGTTAGGTCCCTCCACCGTCTCAGGGTTAGGTCTCTCACTTCTACCGTCTCTGTTAGGTCTCTCACCTCTACCGTCTCATAGGTTAGGTCTCTCACTTCTACCGTCTCATAGGTTAGGTCTCACTTCACTGTCTCATAGGTTAGGTCTCACTTCTACCGTCTCATAGGTTAGGTCTCACCTCACCGTCTCTTAGGTTAGGTCTCTACTTCTCCTGTCTCATAGGTTAGGTCTCTCCTCTACTACCGTCCTTACAGGTTAGGTCTCTCACCTCACCGTCTCATAGGTTAGGTTTCACCTCTACCGTCTCATAGGTTAGGTCCTCACCTTCACCGTCTCATAGGTTAGGTCTCTCACCTCTACCGTCTCTTAGGTTAGGTCTCTCACCTCTACCGTCTCAGGTTAGGTCTCTCACTTACTGTCTCAAAGGTTAGGTCTCTCAGTTCTACCGTCTCATAGGTTAGGTCTCTCACCTCTACCGTCTCTTAGGTTAGGTCTCTCGCTTCTATCGTCTCATAGGTTAGATCTTTCACTTCTAACGTCTCATAGGTTAGGTTTCTCACATCTACCGTCTCATAGGTTGGGTCTCCCACTTCTAACGTCTCTTAGGTTAGTTCTCTCACTTCTACCGTCTCACAGGTTACGTCTCTCACTTCTACCGTCTCTTAGGTTAGGTCTTTCACCTCTACCGTCTCTTAGGTTAGGTCTCTCACCTCTACCGTCTCATAGGTTAGGTCTCTCCCCGCTACCGTCTCTTAGGTTAGGTCTCTCGCTTCTACCGTCTCATAGGTGAGGTTTCTCACCTCTACCGTCTCTTAGGTTAGGTCTCTCGCTTCTACCGTCTCATAGCTTAGGTCTTTCACCTCTACCGTCTCATAGGTTAGGTCTCTCACCTCTACCGTCTTATAGGTTAGGTCTCTCACCTCTACCGTCTTAGGTTAGATCTCTCACCTCTACCGTCTCATAGGTTTGGTTCTCTCACTTCTACTGTCTCTTAGGTTAGGTCTCTCACTTATACCGTCTCAAAGGTTAGCTCTCTCAGTTCTACCGTCTCATAGGTTAGGTCTCTCACCTCTACCGTCTCTTAGGTTAGGTCTCTCGCTTCTATCGTCTCATAGGTTAGGTCTTTCACTTCTACCGTCTCATAGGTTAGGTCTCTCACCTCTACCGTCTCATAGGTTAGGTCACTCAATTTTACCGTCTCATAGGTTAGGTCTCTCACCTCTACTGTCTCATAGGTTAGGTCTCCCACTTCTACCGTCTCATAGGTTAGGTCTCTCACCTCTACCGTCTCATAGGTTAGGTCACTCACTTCTACCATCTAATAGGTTAGGTCACTCACTTCTACCGTCTCATAGGTTTGGTCTCTCACCTCTACCGTCTCATAAGTTAGGTCTCTCACCTGTACCGTCTCTTAGGTTAGGACTCTCACTTCTACCGTCTCATACGTTAGGTCTCTCAATTCTACCGTCTCTTCGGTTAGGTCACTCACCTCTACCGTCTCATAGGTTAGGTCACTCACTTCTACCGTCTCATAGGTTAGGTCTCTCAATTCTACCGCGTCTTAGGTTAGGTCTCTCACTTCTACCGTCTCATAGGTTAGGTCTCACACCTCTACCGTCTCATAGGTTAGGTCTCTCACATCTCCCGTGTCATACGTTGGGTCTCTCACTTCTTCCGTCTCATAGGTTAGGTCTCTCACTTCTACCGTCTTTGGTCTCTCACCTCTACCTCAACTCAGGTTAGGTCTCTCACTTCTACCGTCTCTTAGGTTGGGTCTCTCACTGCTACCGTCTCTTAGGTTACGTCTCTCATTTCTACCGTCTCTTAGAGTTAGGTCTCTCGCTGCTACCGTCTCTTAGGTTAGGTCTTTCACTTCTACCGTCTCTTAGGTTGGGTCTCTCACCTCTACCGTCTCATAGATTAGGTCTCTCACCTCTACCGTCTCATAGATTAGGTATTTCACCTCTACCGTCTCTTATGTTAGGTCTCTCGCTTCTACCGTCTCATAGGTTAGGTCTCTCACCTCTACCGTCTCTTAGGTTAGGTCTCTCGCTTCTCCCGTCGCATAGGTTAGGTCTTTTACCTGTACCGTCTCATAGGTTAGGTCTCTCACCTCTACCGTCTCATAGGTTAGGTTTCTCACCGCTACCGTCTCATAGGTTAGGTCTCTTACCTCTACCGTCTCAGAGGTTAGGTCTCTCACCTCTACCGTCTCTTAGGTTAGATCTCTCATCTCTACCGTCTCATAGGTTTGGTCTCTCACTTCTACCGTCTCTTAGGTTAGGTCTCTCACTTCTACCGTCTCATAGGTTAGGTCTCTCAGTTCTACCGTCTCATAGGTTAGGTCTCTCACCTCTACCGTCTCATAAGTTAGGTCTCTCACCTGTACCGTCTCTTAGGTTAGGTCTCTCACTTCTACCGTCTCATACGTTAGGTCTCTCACTTCTACCGTCTCTCACTTAGGTTAGGTCTCTCACTTCTACCGTCTCATAGGTTAGGTGTCTCACCTCTACCGTCTCATAGATAAGGTCACTCTCTTCTACCGTCTCATAGGTTAGGTCTCTCACCTCTACCGTCTCATAGGTTAGGTCTCCACCTCTACCGTTTGATAGGTTAGGTCTCTCACCTCTGCGTCTCTTAGGTTAGGTCTCTCACTTCTACCGTCTCATAGGTTAGGTCTCTCCCCTCTACCGTCTCTTAGGTTAGGTCTCTCACCTTTACCGTCTATTAGGTTAGGTCTCTCACTTCTACCGTCTCTTAGGTTAGGTCTGTCACCTCTACCTCAACACAGGTTAGGTCTCTCACTTCTACCGTCTCTTAGGTTAGGTCTCTCACTGCTACCGTCTCTTAGGTTAGGTCTTTCACTTCTACCGTCTCAAAGGATAGGTGTCTCGCCTCTACCGTCTCACAGGTTAGGTCTCTCACTTCTACCGTCTCATAGGTTAGTTCTCTCACTTCTACCGTCTCTTAGCTTAGGTCTCTCACCTTTACCGTCTCTTAGGTTAGGTCTCTCACTTCTACCGTCTCATAGGTTAGGTCTCTCACTTCTACCGTCTCTTAGCTTAGGTCTCTCACCTTTACCGTCTCTTAGGTTAGGTCTCTTAGGTTAGGTCTCTCACTTCTTCCGTCTCATAGTTTAGGTCTCTCACCTCTACCGTCTGAAAGGAAAGGTCTGTCGTCTCTACCGTCTCACAGGTTAGGTCTCTCACTTCTACCGTCTCATACCTTAGGTCTCTCACCTCTACCGTCTCAGAGGCTAGGTTTGTCGTGTTGAATAATACTAATAAATCACAATAAACTGTTTACAAAAGCTTTTAATAATCCCTATCATTGTTTACTTCAATATTTAGAACTTACTACATCGATTTGAACAACATTTAAAGTTTACCAGAAATGTGTCCTACAATGTTTAAAACTTTATTACTTGTTTTATTACAAGACATTTACTGGTAACTCATGATTAAAGTTTCTCTATGATAGCCTAGACTAACGATACCCCCTCCCACTCCTGTTCGTCGTCCTCCTCCATTTATTCCTTCTCTTCCTCCTCCTCTTATTCCTTCTCCTCCCCCTCTTACTCCTTCCCTATCCTTCTACTCCACCTTCTCCTACATCTCCATCCTTCTCCTCCTCCACTACCGCCTTCATCTCCCCTCTCTATCCCCCTCATAATCCTCCTCCACTTGTGTCCCTCTTTCTCCATCTTCCTCCTCCTCCTTCCTCTTCACCCTCCTTCATTACCATCCTCCTTCTGCCCCTCCTTCTTCCCCTTCTTTATATGCTACAGGTCGGTGTGATTTCTACAAGGGGAAACAAAGATTTATGTCATCCAGCCACTGTATGGTTGTCCAAAAAGGAAGTCCCATCATATCACTAATTAACCGCAGGTGAGATGCTGATTACAGGTGAGGTGCTGATGACAGGCGAGGTGATGATGGATAATTAGAGTGATTAATGTTGGTTAATTAGAGAATTTCATCATAGTTAAGTAAAGTTAGTTTTTTTTAAGTTTATTTGTGGTAGCTATGAATCCTTAAACAGGGTAGTTAGTGGTGGTATAATGAGTAGTTAATGCTGGTTAATTAGGATTGATATTGATGATTAATTTCGTTGAAGATACTTTCCTCCCCTCTCATGTACTTTCTAACAGGTACTTTCATTCCCTATGTGTTGTGTTTTGTGTTGTGTTTGTGCTGTATGTGTGTATATGTGTGTCTTATGTTATGTGTTGTGTTGTGTTGTGTTTCAGGCTTCGTTCTCTTGTGGAGTTCGGCCTCTATGAACACTGGCTCTTCTCAACTTTACGTCACAGTAGAATATGTCGATTTGCTCCCTCCAAGATCACTGTTAGGACCTCTCTTGCCTTCAGCAACCTATGGGTAAGTAGAGAGAGAGAGAGAGAGAGAAAGAGAGAGAGAGAGAGAGAGAGAGAGAGAGAGAGAGAGAGAGAGAGAGATAAGAGTACGAACTAGTCTGCTGGAACCTATAGTACAACTCCTCATATCTTCGTCAGGGTATGTTTGTGCTGCTGGGTGCTGGTCTCCAATTGGCTACCCTTGTGTTCTGCCTGGAGGTGGTGGTCGGCAGGAGGAAGAGCTCACCAAGGACTCACACACTCAGCTCTAAGCTCTAGTAATGGAGTTCGGGAAGTAACAAGAAGTAACACCAAGTTTAGCTCTAAGTTTGAGAGGTTTATGTTGAAGTGGTATTTCAAGATCGACTCTTAAGTTCATATAATAGATCATGTTCAGCTAAAAGTTCATAAGGAAGATCAGAAGCTCTAAGTTCAATAAATTTACATACTAAGTGCGTCATTAAGCTCTAAGAATGTCAATCAGTAGTAATGACTGACTAGCTGGCTAACAGAACTTTGAACCCAATTCTCATGGTTCTGGATCAAAACAGTCTGATTCTAGTGTAATTGTATGTGCTGAACTCAATTATGACATTCGTATAGCTGTATCAGGCTCAGTTTTCCAGAACCAGCATATCTATATATTTAGTGTACCATGCTATTCATACAGTAATTTATATGCTCATTGGCTCCACTTATGCAATTATTTTGTCCTGATTTGTGCTTTTTTGTTTGTTTCAGTTTGCTGATTCATGATATTGCATATCTACACCTGCATGATTTGTAATTACTCTGAAATTAACAAAACATGGAACGTCGCAAGTGTGTGAACGGTGCTGACAGTTTTTGCTACATATGTGGTGCCTTCACTCCTGGTAGCCTCAAGAAACCAATCACAAAAGCTGTTCGACTGAACTACAAAAGTTACTTCAAATGTCATTTGGGTGACCAAGACAAGAAATGGGCACCTCATGTAGCCTGTAAGTCTTGTGTTAACCACCTGAGCGAGTGGATGTGTGGTAAACGAAGTTCAGGAATGCCGTTTGCTGTACCAATGATATGGCGTGAACCTAAAGACCACAGTAGTGACTGCTACTTCTGTCTCACAAATATTAAGGGAATAAAAATCAAGACACGAGGCAAGGTACAGTACCCCAATATTGCTTCTGCAATCCGACCAGTACCGCACAGTGCTGAACTTCCAGTCCCAAATCCACCGACTGAACAAGAATTGAGTGATTCCGATTCTACCTCTACCTCAATGGAAAACGACTACCAGGATGACTCTGAAAATACCAGGCCTAAACTATTTACTCAAGAAGCACTTCATGATCTCATTAGGGACCTAAACTTGTCAAAAGAAAAGGCTGAAGTTTTGGGATCCAGACGAAAGCAGCATAACCTGCTAGAAGATGGAGTGCATATCACTACAGCGCGTTACCGACATAGACAGCTGTCTGAATTTTTCAAGATGGCAAACAACCTTTGTTATTGCGAGGACGCAGTATCTCTCATGCAACAACTCTGAAAGTCTGAAACATACAAGACAGAGGATTGGAGGCTGTTTATAGACTCAGGAAAAGACTCTCTGAAAGCTGTTCTTTTACACAATGGCAATCGGCTTCCATCTGTCCCAATAGCACACGCAACAAAAATGACTGAGAGCTATGAAACAATGAAAATTCTGTTGGCCGCTATAGAGTATGAGAAACACCAGTGGAAGATATGTGGCGATCTCAAAGTCATCAGTTTACTACTGGGCCTTCAGAGTGGCTACACAAAGCACATGTGCTTTTTGTGCTTGTGGAACAGCAGAGCTGATGCAGAGCACTATGTGAGAAAGGATTGGCCGACAAGACCAAGAGATGCGCCTGGAAGGTTTAACTGTGCTCACAATCCGCTTGTAGATCCAGAAAAGATATATTTGCCTCCACTGCATCTAAAGCTCGGTTTGGCTAAAAATTTCATCAAAGCTATGGATCAATTCGGTGCTGGGACTCTATACTTATCTCAGAAACTAGGTGGTGTGGTTTCCGAAGCCAAGTTGAAAGCAGGTGTCTTGAATGGACCACAAATTCGTATACTAGTTAATGATAGCGAATTCACCAAAACATTGAACCCACTGGAGAAAAAAGCATGGGAATCATTTGTCAATGTGTCAAAGAATTTTCTTGGAAACTATCGTGCTGACAACTACAAAGAAATCGTAACAACCATGCTTCAGAATTATCATGCATTGGGAGCAAGGATGTCCTTGAAATTGCATTTTTCCACTCTCATATTGAATTTTTCCCAGGTAACCTTGGAGACGTTAGTGATGAACACGGCGAAAGATTTCATCAAGATATCGCCATAATGGAGAGCAGATATCAGGGACAATTCATTCCTAACATGATGGGCGACTATTGCTGGACACTGCAATGAGAAGAGAGCAAGCTGTACAAGAGAAAGAGTAAAGTTCAGAAGCACTTTTAGAACTTCATATTTTGTCATTATAAAGGATTTGAACTTATGTTTTTTGGTAAAATTTTTTATGAGCTTATCTGTGATAGGGTTAAAATTGTATCATGCATGACGCGATAATGTTACTATATTTACTATTTTTTTTATTCTTTAAGAAAGTAGATCTGATGGTAGAATGAAACATCCAATTAATATTCATTAATATGAAATTAGTCATGAAAGCACAGTCACATGAGATAATCTCATCTTTTGCACGACACGTGATGGAATATTAAATATTTGTACCTATTGATTTTCTTATAAAACCTGGTCTGATAGAACAAAACAAATATCAGATTCGAATTCAGCAATATGAAATTAGTTGTGTGAGCATGATCTCATATGTGAACCATTTTGGCTGTTGACCAGTGCTATCAGCCCTGGGAACAGCTGATCAGTCTTGATAATTATAACAACCGCACACACACACACACACACACACACACACAAAATTATAACCTTTGTCGACTCTCCTTAGTCAAATTGCCTTACTGTTTACTAGTGTTGTTTACCTGTACTGTCAGGGCACACGGGAAACTCTACTCTGCCCGTGTGCACCGTATACCTATACTGTATTGTCTACTATACGCTGAACTCTATAACTGCAGTAATTTATATAAATGCCTTATATGTCTCTCCAATTGTAAACCTGTATGGTAATTTTAGTAAATAAATATTAATATTATTATTTGCAGTGCCAAAATACAATAGTCACCGCAGTAAAGATTCGAAATCACAGAAAATGTAAACTAGTTAAGATTTTATGAGTAACTAAAATATTAAAGTGATGTTACTTAAGAGTTTTATTGATTAAGCTTATTCTTTCCACAATTTTTTTAGCTTGCTACCCGTTCATGTTATCTGCCTTTTCTTTGGCATTTTGTTACGTTTCTCTTTGTTCATTGTTATTACAGGACGAAACTAAAGAACCCTGAGGTAACTTGTGATGTTTGGTTGAGATTATTGTATACAGGGATGAAAACTCTACCTCCAGAAAGACCTAACGTCCCTAGTGAAGGTGCAACACAAAGACTAAGATGATTCCTGAACAAAGTCATCTCGATTATCCAACTTGACTGAGGGTCTTGAGACTAACAACCCTTCAGACAAGATACAATACAACAGATATAATAGACATTTATAAATTCTTGGAAGGGATGGTAAACGTGAACCCAGGCCAATTTATTGTGATGTTGTAAGGGCGTGATTTCCTTACTTCACATTTTATACTATCCTTCTGAGTTATTCCTTTTATTCTTCAATGTTTTATATATATATATATATACATATATTATTTTGTTGTTAGTATTCTATTTATTCATATACTTATTTGTTCTGTAGCATTCTTTCCAATGAGTATCCTGTTTTATATACTTATCCTTCTTCAGTTCTTTACACACATACTTACTTTATATATTCTGGCTTATATTCTTATATGTTCTTTATCTCTATATACCTTATATTCTTATATATTCTTATATAAGTAACTCTTATGCTTCTCTGCTTATGTTTTCCAAGTCAATGTTCTTTCTTTTCATTTCCTGTCATATATTATGATCTCATCCATATATTTTGTTCTAGTTATATTCTAAACCATGGATTAACCTGGGAAACCATGTCTTTGTTATTACCACACTTATTATACTTACAACGGTAGCCTGCCACTATGAGGGCTTGAGCTGCCACCATTTATGAGGGCTGCTACTGCCACCCTTCATGAGGGCCTGTGTGCCAGTAACAATTCCTTTTACTCTTATATATCACCATTGGTAGCGTGACGATAGGAGGCTCGTGGGTAGGTGTAATGATAGTATCAAGCAATAGGGAAGAAATAACGGTAAATACTGTAGGTAAATAATATACACAATTTTACAAATACAAAGTTTATTTAAACATGAATATGAAATTAGAAGAAAGAATTGGTTTGTACTAACAGACGAAATCTATTACTAGGCCCTCAGGCTCAACATACTCACACCATTACTGGGTGGACATATTCAATACCCTTCCAACCCTACAGGGTGGACATACTCAATAACACAACTATGATAGTCACTTAGCACTATAAATACTAGGCAACTGCCACTACAACACTCAGTCGTCAGGAGTGATACTCAAGCAACAGCCATGGGGTCCAGCCACCATGGAGTACTATCCGACGAACTCTGGAGATCCCAGTGGGTTAATTCCACCACACAAATATAGCCCTACTGAGGTAGCCATTCATCCACCAATGATGGGGGCTGGTAGTGGTGTGTGGCTTGGTGGTCCAGGGTCACCTCGTGGACCGAGCGTTAGGGCCAGACGAGCCAGCTATGGGGGCTATAGGTGGTCTGAAGTGTCTGACGGCCGGGTCTCACGAAGGTAACTGATCCTACTGGACCTCGGACATCTCCCCAGACATAGTGGATACAACATCCACCCTACAGACACGGCCTAGGCTGCGTTAGGGACCTGTATGGATGAAGGGACAGGCACTTACTAACCGGTGACAACAACATCACGTTTCAGGGGACGTTAAAGACGTAAATATGACTTTACTCAGAGCATATCAACTACGTTACTGTAACACTTGCACAATCAACTATTAATTGAGTCAAATCACTTAAAGAAGGGCAAATTACAACACAGCGTGGAATGGCATACCTGTATGGATGAAGGGACGGGCACTTACAAACGGTTAAAATGCCCGCGTGCCCTCACTCAAACCAGACCAGGGAGTCCAGCTACTCCTATTCCGATGAATTAATTTACGGTACCCTCTGACGTTGAAATTGAGACTATGAACTCATTTTCATTCTCTACTATTATCTTCACTAACAATGCTCTGACTCAGCTATCGAAAGCAAAATTAAATTGATTACAAAGGAATGGATGGCAACAGGTCCCAGCATACAGCGTCTGCTCCCATAGACAAAGGCGGGGGAAACAGAGAAAACGGGGGACGTTTCCACTGGGGGACTCGGAAGGTTTTGTGGACGTTTGAGCGTAATATGAATCCTTAAGGTTTTCAGGTTAGCCATTATCATGACCATTACACCACCACCCAGGATTTTCTAGAATATAACATCTCTTAGTTAACTGTTAG